TTACATTTAGTACATTTTGTTCCTAAACCAACTATAAAATGTTAGACATCAAATCATTTTTGTTTCCATCTGTTTTTGCCACGCTAGGGATCAAGCTCACGGCCTTGTGGATGTGCTAGACAAGCACTCTACCACTGAGCTACGCCCCCAGCCCATTAAAAAAAAATACTTTAACGTCAATTATGCATATCACTTACTAATGGAAAAATACAAATTTATTATATATTACATGTCTTTACATATTTAAATAATCTTTAATGATTCCTAATTAAAGTTAAAAATTTTTTTACTTAAAAACGCCTCGTAATCATGTAACTACAAAAGAAATATGGTTAAAAAGTTCCAAAGGGGATGTCTAAGGCTGTGAAATGGGTTTGAAAACAATTTTAAGAAAGAAAAAGGAAAAAAAAAAAGCTTAAGTGACAGAACAATATGTATTATTTATAAAAAGCAAATGAAAATCCTCTTTTATAAATTATCTCTCTCTACATCTAAAAATAAATACAACGGGCATAGAAAAAGGTCTGGAGGGGTATGTGCCAAACTGTTCACAGCAACTGCCCTGCAGAAGAACAGTTCCAGCTCAGGTGGGAATGGATCAGGAGTACTTAGGTACTGTGTGTAACAGTAATTAAAAATAACAGTGGAAGGCAAAGCTCAGGGGTGGGGGTGGCCTTGAGAATGTGCCTCCTAGGTCTCCTTCTGCAGAGTGCACATGATCACTGGCTGATGATCCCAGTGACTACACCCTGAGGTCCATCAGTGCCTGTGGTCAAAGCCACATTCTCATGAGCTGTTCCCAGGAGGTGGGTGGAGGATACTGAGCAGGCCTGTTCTGGACATGGAGGGACGCCTCTGGGGATCAGCTTTGGCCTAAGGACTCTCAGATGACCTTGCAAAACTTTTGCTGCAGTTTCCTTTCCCTCCCCTCTCTCCCCCTCCTATTCATTCTTCCTTCCTTCTTTCCTTCCCTCCACTTTTTTCTCAACCTTCTCCAGCTCCATCTCTATCTTCCCTTACTGGTCTTTCTCCCAGTTAAATCTCTGGACCTCTAATCCACCTTGGTGTCTACTTTCTAGACGACCCAGACTAACTCAAATGTTTAAAAAAAATTAGTTAATCATAGGCAAAGCCCCTAACATTGTGCCGTAAGGACACAGGAAGTCTGGACCCCCTGCAGCCGCCAATGTGGGAGCTGTGCGTGTAGATAGAGCTCTCTCAACCTATTGCAATGTGTGTAAGTTATGTTTATCAAATTTATGTGTTATTGAGGCACCTGGGGTTTGTTTGATACCAGGCAGTTGAGATACTTTATATAAAAAGGACATGTTGGGCTGGGGATGTGGCTCAAGCGGTAGCGCGCTCACCTGGCATGTGCGGGGTGCTGGGTTCGATCCTCAGCACCACATAAAAAATAAAAAAATAAAGATGTTGTATCCACCGAAAACTAAAAAATAAATATTAAAAGATTCTCTCTCTCTCTTTAAAATAAATAAATAAATAAAAAGGATATGTTAAATTTTATGACTGGAATTTAAAAATTTTAAGGAAGAATGTCCAAAGTTTGTGATGGAAACTAATTTTTTTTTTTTGGTACCACCGAGCCACATCCCCAGCCCTTTTTATATTTTACTTAAAGACAAGATCTTGCCAAATTGCTTAGTTGCTGAGGTCTTGCTAAGTTGCTGAGGCTGGCTTTAAACTTGAGATCCTCTTGCCTCAGCCTCCCGAGCCACTGGGATTACAGGTGTGTGCCACTGAGCCTGGCTGAAACCAAATTTTAATCCATATTTTATTTTATTTTTGGGGGGTAATGGGGGTTGAAGTAGGCTGGCCTTGAACTTTGGATCTGGATGCTCTTGTGTCAACCTCTTGAGTTGCTGTAATCCATATTTTAAACGTGTTTGTTAATATTTATAATCATATATAAAACAATAAGATATATTGAACAGTTCTTAAAACTTACGGGAAAAAGTTGATTTTGAATTTGAAAACTTAATTGGAATTAAGTATTAGGAAAAAATAGAAAGCATAGTAAATGGTAGTTTTGAGACACTAAAATCATCTTCAAGAATATCAAAATTTTCACAATTAATAAAGAATAAGCCAGTGTATCCACATGGAGAATAGGCAGAGATGTGGTGGTAAATATTTAGCAACAGGTTTTGGGGGATGGAGGGATATTCAAAAATATGAGTATATAAGTTAATTATAAATTTTACCAATGAGAAGGATATATAGTGCATGATTTAAAATAATAATAAAATATCAATATTATTTATTATAAATTTCATAAAGCCAGTTGATTCTGAATATTTTCATTGTTTTTGCCAAACTCCTCTGTCCATAGCCAGCCTGTGGTTTGATGACAGGACTTGTATCCCAATCCACTAATTTTTTTCTACTAAATTAATTGTTATTACTTCTTTGTGTGAATCATTGTCATTCTTATTCTCATTCTTATTGTATTTATCAAACTCCAACCTTTCAGCTTTAGCCCTGCTTTATTAACTTTTTCTCCTTCAACTTCCTAAACATAGACATTGAAGGCAATAAATCCAGCCCTGGTCTGTGGTGTTCACCAATTTCCCTGGTGTAAATGCTGCTTGGATTCCAAGTTACCAACTCAATTCAGATGTTGCTGAATTCCTGGAAGATGCCATCACCTTATGGATACAACAAACCTGAACAACCTCAAGATCATAGATAAAAGTAGATAAGAATAATTAAAGACTGGCAAGTTTTGTGTATTATTACTCTACCTATAATAATACCTGTAATAATGTATCTGATTGTAAGTACATTTAATTTAATTTTTAATAATGGCTGGCTTTAACAACCAACTTGCAAAATTCTTGAGACTCTCCCTATTGCCTCTTGGGAGCCGGTACCAGTTGGCTGCAGGATACCACTCATGGTAGTAACTGGTGGGGTTTCAGTTCTAGAGACAGACAGGGAGCCAACGGTGCAGCTCTCTGATAGATGAGGAGTGGTCCCTTGGTTACAGTGGAGGCAGGGAGGAAGGGGTAGCCACATGCCAGTGTTCCTCAGAGAAGCGGGGATTTGTTCGAGTGCCACTTAGAAGCAGGGATTTGTTGGAGTGTCACTTTCGCCTTCTCAGTGGTGGTCTTCATGGCCACAAGACTAGTCTAGTTGTTAGCTTGCAAGGTTGGATTACTGTCCTGCTTCTGGGTGAGTCATCCCCTCTCCAGATTCTCCCCTTGCTAGTCTACACTCACATTCCAGAATTGCTGAGGGCCATTGCTAAGTAAGAATGACGCATGGCATGACCCAGGTCATTTGCAGTGACATTGCATGTAAGGTGACCTTGCTCAAGGACCAGGGCGGATCCCGGTTTAGGGAAGATGGGGTTTAGGGCGTTCCGCTTTAGGACAATCGGGTTTAGGGCGGTTCCAGGTTTAAGGTGTACCCTGCTGGGAATAGGGCGTATCCTGCTGCCTCAGGCGCGCCTGCTCCTTGAGTTCCCGTTGAGTTCTCCCGGGATTCAGAGAGTATTTGGGATTTCGCCCAGAACGTGAATTGGGCGGAGAACATGGATTCCCCCAGAACGTGTTTGTAGAGTGCCAGTGTGAGTTCGGGAATAAAGAATTGCTGTTTGAATCTACAAGGTGTGTGGTGGCTCGTGATTTTGTGCCCAGCCAGACTGCGGCACATAATAATCTTCCCAAGCACATCTTTTGCATGCATTTCCCCCATCAGTCCGGCTCTGTGTAGGATGAATTCTACATAAGAACCTGGGCTTTTAGTTTTCCCGAATCACTCAGCAGCCTTTGCACTTCCCCCTACGCATGCATTCCAAGTCCTCCCCTGTTCTGCAGACCTCTCACCTACTGGCTGTTGAATTTGCCAGTTGTATTTCACCTCTTAGGCTTCGTGGCACCTCGCCTTGTTCTAAGGGTCTGTTCCACGTGACTGCTTATTTGCAAACTGTTCTTCCTCTCTGAACCACCTAGACTCCTAATTACCTGCCCCCCACCCCAACTGTTGTTGAAATGAGCACTTGCACCCCTCTTTGGGTGCATAGTGTCTTGCAGTCTTAGGCACATTTCCACACTCACATGCTGGTCAGTATATGTCTAAGTCGACCACAGACTTCTTGGGGGAAGAGATGGTAGATAGCAGCAAACATTTCTTGTTGATGACAAGAAATTCATATATTCCAAAATGGAATACCCCCTGATGAGTTGTAATATTCGATCAAACTAGTATTTTTAATTTTTCTTTTTTCTTTTGGTGGTACTAGGGATCCAACACAGGGCCTTGTGTGTGTGTGCTAGGGCCACTGAGTGACATCCCGGCCCAAAATTAGTTTCTGATACATCTTTTCCTTTACTACTTATTTCCTAATCTTCAGCTTGTCTTTGGAACTATGAAGTTTGTTTTGATTGCCTTTTTTAAAATTTGGTACTGGGGATTGAACCCAGGAGATCTTCACTCTCGAGCCACATGCCAAGCCCTTTTTATTTTTTATTTTGAGACAGAGTCTTGCTAAGTTGCTGAGGCTGGTTTTGAACTTGGGTCCCTCCTGCCTCAGCCTCCTGAGCCTCTGGGATCACAGGCAAGTGCCACCGCACCCAGCTGTGACTGCCTTTTGTACTGGTCTGCATGGGCTGACATGCAAGATAGAGCAGACTGAGTGGCTTTAATGACAGTCATTTATTTTCTCATGGTTCTGAAGGCTGGAAGTCAGGACTCTCAGGGTTAATGCCCGGGGAGGGTTTTCTTCCTGGGTTCTTACTGTGTCCTCACATGTCCCCTTTTCTTTGTGCACACATGGACCGAGAGAGTTCTCTGTTGTTTCTTCCTTTTTTTTGGGGGGGTGCAGTGAACTTTATTGATGGTATGTGACAGTAGGGCTCCCTAAGCCCCTCCCCTTCTTCAGGGGATCTGGGATGGAAATGGGGAGGAGGGGAGATTCTCAGTGTGTTGAGGGACTGAGTTAGGGGCAGGGACTCCCCAGCAGCTGAGCACCTCTCTCTTCCTGTGTTCTTGCTGGGGCAGGTAGTGCAGGGGCTCTTAGTCCTTGGAGGCCATGTGGACCATAAGGTCCACCACCCTGTTGCTGTAGCCAAATTCATTGTCATACCAGGAAATGAGCTTAACAAAGTGGTTGTTGAGGGCAATGCCGGCCCTAGCATCAAAAGTGGAAGAGTGCGTATCACTATTAAAGTCACAGGAGACCACCTGGTCCTCCGTGTAGCCCAGGATGCCCTTGAGGGGGCCCCCTGATGCCTGCTTCACCACCTTCTTGACGTCATCGTATTTGGCAGCTCTCTCCAGGTGACAGGTCAGATCCACAACTGACAGGTTGGGAGTGGACACACGGAAAGCCATACCAGTGAGCTTCCCATTCAGTTCAGGGATGATCTTGCCCACAGCCTTGGCAGCACCGGTGGATGCAGGGATGATATTCTGGGCAGCCCCACAGCCATCACGACACAGTTTCCCAGAGGGGCCACTCGCAGTCTTCTGAGTAGCAGTGATGGCATGGACTGTGATCATGAGTCCTTCCAGAATGCCAAAGTTGTCATGGATGACCTTGGCCAGGGGGCTAAGCAGTTGGTGGGACAGGAGGCGTTGCTGACAATCTTGAGGGAGTTGTCATACTTCTCATGGTGCATGCCCATCACAAACATGGGGGCATGGGCAGAAGGGGCAGAGATGATGACCCTTTTGGCACCACCCTTCAAATGAGCCCCGGATTTCTCCATGGCAGTGAAGACACCAGTGGGCTCCACAACATACTCAGCACCAGCATCACCCCATTTGATGTTGGCGGGATCTCGCTCCTGGAAGATGGAGATGGACTTTCCATTGATGACAAGCTTCCCGTTCTCAGCCTTCACTGTGCCATGGAATTTACCATGGGTAGAATCGTACTGGAACATATAGACCGTGTAGTTGAGGTCAATGAAGGGCTCATTGATAGCGACAATGTCCACTTTGGCAGAGGTGAAAGCAGCCCTGGTGACCGGGAGCCCAATATGGCCAAATCCTTTCATTCCGACCTTCACCATCACTGCACGAGACGGGGAGGGGCGGCTGCCTATCGAACGGGGAGGAGCAGAGAGCCTCTTCCTTTTCTTATAAGGACACGGATCCTACCAGATTAGGATCCCACCCTTATGACTTCATTTAAACTTAATTATCTCCTGAAAGCCCCATCTCTCAATGTAGTCACATTCAAGTTCATGGTTTCAAAAGATGAATTTCAGGGGGATACAACTCAGTCTATATCACCTTCCAAACAGAATTTTGTTTTATTTTCCATTGATTATAAAATGGTACTGTACCTTTCCCTCACCTTCTTGAAAAAACAAGTGAATTTATTATTAAAATTGAGAGCCGAGAGAAGCAGAAGCGCTGTGTCAGTCATCAGTCAGCAGGGCGGTTTGGAGCCCAGACTCCCAAGCTGGACTGTGCTGGTGTCAACCCAACTCTGCCACGTCGTAGCTGTGCGACCTCAAAGATGTTACTTAACTTCTCTTTGCCTCAGTTTCCTTGTGTGCAAAATGGGAATGATAGCAAAGGTTCCACCTCACAGGAAGATGATGATTGTTGTAGGGGAGAGGAAATGAGATAATGAGTGTGTGTAGAACTCCTGGAACATTATTATTATGTTTATCTTAAAAAGCTTTTCGCTGGGTGCCAAGGCACACTGCTATAAACCCAGTGGCTTAGGAGGCTGAGGCAGGAGGTTTGCAAGTTCAAAGCCAGCCTCAGCAACTTGGTGAGGCCCTAAGCAGCTTAGTAAGACTCTGTCTCAGAATAAAAATTAAAAAGGGCTGGGGATATGGCTCAGTGGTTAAGCACTCTTGGATTTAATCACTGGTACAAAAAAAAAATCTCATATTTAATGCCTGTGGAATTGTGTGTTTACAGCACCCCAGTCAGGCAGGTAATAGTATGGGAACATTATTTAATGCTTGTATTGATTTGAAGGTAGCATATTGCTTGGAAATAATAAAAAAAAAAGGCTAGTCATCAATTGGTCATAAAAAGGATTCTGACCAAGGTCACATATACATCACCTGTCACTTATGCCAAGTTCCCCTAAGCTTGACAAATGCTTACTTGCAAGATTAGGTCAGTATTAGGATGAAGGTGAGCAGCTATCAATGAGGGCACACGAGAGGTGTTGGGCTGAGGTGTTGGTGGCATCTGAGAAGACTTCTAGAAGTGGTGATATTTGAGCTGGAGTTTGAAGAATGAGAACAAATTGGAAGCAGGGTACCTCCTATCAGTGCCCGGGGTACTCTGAGTCCATACTGTTTTCAGAGAAAGACTCAACAGTATTTCTCTCGCAGTGAAAATTCTCTGGTATCAGAGCTTGCAGCTTTTGAGAGGGGAAAGAGAGAATTTTGGCAAAAATGGCAGAAACCGTGATTTTTAAAAATATTCTGAATTTTAAAATTGATTTAATAAAAATGAATCCAAATCTTATTTTTATAGAGACAAACAGGAAGTAGTCGTTAGTTGGTAATTTTAGATGCCATTTGGCCATGAATTTCATGTACTTATTCGGTTAGGGAATATTTTGGGGGTGCCTCCTATGTACCAGGAGACTGAGGGTATAGTGGGGAGTGGGTCAGCCCTGTGGTCTTGTTTTGGGGTAGGAAAACAGGTTAAAATGTGGCAACTATTAGGATAGTGGAAGCATAGGTCACCGAAGCCTTGTCTGAGGAAGTGATGGTTTTCCCATGGAAAGGAGTAGAAATTAGCCAGACAAAGAAAGGTGGGGAACAGTGTCTCAGGAATAGGGAACAGCATGTGCAAAATCCTAGAGATGAGACCTTGACATTGAATTAAACACAAAAATGCCTAACATGTCTGGAGCTCAGAGGATGGAAAGGGGAATGGATGAGAAATGAGGTGGAAGAGTTCAGCTGGGGCCAGTCGAGACAGAAACCATTGAAAGGGGGCTGAATTTTTAACTTGAGAGCAACAGGGAGCCTTTGAAGAGTTTTCAGTAGGGTGTGTCATGATCTCATTTACATTTTCAAATAACCACGTTGGTTGCGGGCAGGAGAACTGATTGGATATTTACTGTGCGATCATGTGAAACTTTAAAACAATCCTTTCTATTTGAATTGAGAGACTATAAAAACCACAATAAAGAAAATTCCAAACTATAATGATAAAAATATTACCCATGATTCTCTTGCTCTAACTGCATTTCATTTCTTCTATCTCTCCTTTTTTTTCCCATTTTTTCCTCCTTGCACATTCACTTTTACACTATCGAAGTCATTGGTGGAAGGCTTCCTTGGCACGCATTAGCACGGCTAAATAAATCCCAGCTGTTACTCATCCCGGAGCACACTACAGAGCCGCTACAGAGCCGCCGAAGTGAGAAGTATCTCGATTGTAAATCAATTTGCAGTGGTGGCTCTTATTTGTGCCTTTGAATTTGGGGGCTTATACTTGATACCATTGTTTGTTTTCTCTATTCACGGTGACTTCATAATTGCAGTATGTCTGCCCAAGCTGGTGGTGGCCCTGGCTTCTCATTTTCCTTTAGATGCAATTGCTCTGGAGCATGACCATCTGTGATAGCTGAAATTATCGTGCTACAAACATTCCCTCTTCCTCCCCTCTCACTGCAGGCATAGTCTACTGCTCTGTGTCTTTGACTTTGAACTTGACCATATGACTTGCTTTGATCAAAGCAGCTCCATGAGCAGGGGCCGTGAGTGTACTGCACCCTGGACTGGGCTCCTGGGCTCCAGGGTCTGCATGGAGCTTTGACTGTCCCAGGTAGCCACTGGTCTGGCAGGGGGAGAGACCTGTGACGCAGGCTTCTCCCCAACCCACATCTGAGTCCCCCTGATCTGCACTCAGTGGGGTGACTTAGGGAGCTCAGCCTCCACCCCTCAACTCAGTCGGTGTTGTGTCAAGGAACATGGCCTTCGGGCAGGTCGCTCTGCAGAATTATACTGGTAAGAATCTTTTTGATGGCCCTCTCCAGGGCTCCTCTGAGTGAATTTTGTGTATGTCACAAATTAGTCTAGCCGTTTTTGCACATTCATTCAACAATTATCATATTAAATATTTACAAGGGTCAGGCACCATGGATTCAAGAGTGATGAAAAACAACCCCCAGTCTCTTGGACTTTAAAGTCTAATGAGAGAGATAGGCTTAAGTGACCACTTAATGAGTGCATAATTGCAAATTAAGATAAAATCCTTGTGAGTGCATTAACCTGACTGAGGAGTTTGAAGCTTTTTTTTTTTTTTTTTGAACGGGGGTTGAACCCAGGGTCCCTCAACTGCAGAGCCACATCCCCGACCCTTTTTTATATTTTTTATTTAGAGACAAGGTCTCACTGAGTTGCTTAGGGCCTTGGTAAGTTGTGAGGCTGACTTTGAACTTGCAGTCCTCCTGCCTCAGCCTCTTGAGCTGCTGGGATTACAGGCATGAGCCACCTCGCCTGGATGTTTTTACAAGCTGTTATTCAGCCCACTACAAGGTGTAAATTTATTATACTGTCCAATACCGCTGGCTAGTTATGACTCTGTGTACCCACTCAGTGGTAACTTACACGTAAGATTTGCCATTCCATCCATTTTGGGGCATAAATTCAGTTGCATTAAGTAAATTTACATGGTTGTGCAACAATCACCACTACCAATCTCTGGAGCTTTCTTATCTTCTTAAACTCATGAAACAGTAGTTTCCTAATCCTCTCTCCCTCCAGGCCCTAGCAACCATCATTCCATTGTCATCTCCATGAATTTGTCTACTCTGGGTACCTCATATAAGAGGAATCACAGTGTTGATCATTTTGTAGATACTTTTTAAAAACCATACACTAAGAAGAAAATATTTATTTTAAAAAATTTCCAGAATATATTAGGTTGAATTGTATAAAAGTGGCTTCTTCTTCTGGAATTTTTTTTTGAAGGAAATTTTATTTATTTAGGTTTTATACATTTTTTAAAAAATTTTTTATGTGGTGCTGAGTATCGAACCCAGGGCCTCACATGTGCTAGGCAAGTGCTCTACTGCTGAGTCACGACCCCAGCCCCTGGTACTGGAAATTGAACCCAGGGGCCCTCTACTACTGAACCACATCCCCAGCCCTTTTTGTTTTTTATTTTGAGGCAGGGTCTTGCCAAGTTGCTGAAATTGGCCTTGAACTTGTGATAACCCTGCCTTAGAGTTGCTGGCATTACAGGTGTGTATCACCATGCCCAGTCCAAACTAGCATTCTTATAGGTGCCCCACCCCCAGCAAAAAAAAAAAAAAAAAGATTAAATATTGGCAATTCATTTAGTTTTACATAATATAAGTAATTCCTATAAAACATCAAGAAAAAGTTAAGTAGCACCATAGAAAAATGAGCTGCTGACACAATCCAACATTTCACAGAAGAGTAGACACATTTTTGTAGTGAATTTTTTAACTTATAGATTTTTTTTTTTTTGGTATGTGGTACTGGAATTGAGCCCATGGGTACTCTCTCACTGAGCTACTTATCCCCATCCCTAGCCTTTTTTATTTTTTATTTTGAGACAGAGTCCTGCTAAATTGTCCAGGCTGGCCTTGAACTTCCCATTCTCCTGTCTCAGCCCCCTGAGTCACTAGGATTAGAGGCCTGAGCCACTGCACTTGGCAATTAATAGATCTACCATGAGTAGTCTCATCATTCACATTGTGCTATCCATGTGGTTCAGGGCGGCAGCTAATGCGGAAGTTAGGAGCAACTGAAAATAGGCACCAAGGCTCTGGGCCATTAGAATTTCCAGGGTTGACTGCTATATTGGCAGGAGGCCCCGACTTCTCTCATCCCAATAAAGAGAAAACACCAGGATTGATGTCAAAGGCAAAAAAAATATTTGTGAGAACATTTTCAAGTTCCTTAGAACCTTCTTCTGTCTTCTCTGTTAAAAAAAAAATTGGATGGAACTGGGATTGGCCAATAGCACAAGGACAGAAAAAATAGCTCCAAAATAAACACAAACTACCACAGTGCTCTGCATACTTGGGAGAAATAAGGAATAGTGATAAGTGTTC